ATATAATAAATATATAACTACATATATATAATAATATATATTATTTTTAAAAATCAGGTTGGATCCAATCGGATCCACTTGTACCCGGATCAGATCCAAATTACGATTTGGATTTAAATTTTGGATTCGGATATAAATTGCAAATCCAAATCTTGGATCCATACCGGGATTCGAATAGGATCCAAAAATTGGGTTTTGGATCCGATCGAGTAAATTCTCAGCCCTAAGCCGCGGGCCTTATGGAATACTTTTCCTTTGATAAATTAATCACCAAATAACTTTGAATAGAGTTTCAACATTATAAATCAAAAGAATCCAAAAACGTTACAAGTAGTAGTGGAAGAAGAAGAATAGTAGTTAGAACAATAGTAGCAGCATTATCAACAGTGTAGGTGTGTAGTAATAATCATGTCAATAATAAAGCAAAGTGAACCTCACCATTATTAAGTGCTTTGGAAAAGATGAAAATTAGAGGACAAAATAAAGTTGAATGAATTTGTGGTCTCACATGTCCGTTGTTATACAATCATTTTAAGACTTTTGTGAGGTTTTATCCAAAGAGAAGGAAGAGGGAATTAGGATAAATGACTTGAGAATGATGAGAGGTGTATTATGCTAAGGAAATATTCGAAGACAAAGGGACAAGTCATGTGTTTAGTTAGGCTTTGCATTTTCATAAAAGTCCATGGTCAGGTTTTGGGAAGTGACCTAATCTGATGGATCCCTCTCACCAAAGGGTAGAGAGAGAGAGAGATATAGAGAGGGGGCACAAAAATCTCTTCATCTTTAGGGAAAGTGTAATGTGTTTGCAATGGTATAGTGTACTCTTGCAGGACCAAATTATACATTTACTCCATCGGTCAAGCAAAAGAGCTAGGTGGGAGAATTTTTTATCTAATTTTTTTTGGAATTTATTCTAGAATTACCAAGTGATTATTTTTATTAAAAAATTATAAATTTTTAAATTGCTAAGCATTTAGAACTTGACTGTCCAAAATAAGGGTAAATATTCAATCTCAAGTTGTTATTTGTTTTAGGGTGGATGCAGAAATAAGGGTAAATACTCAAATCTCAAGTTGTTATTTGTTTTTAGGGTGGATGCAGTTTATTATTTAGTCTCAAAATGTATTCGTTTTAGGGTTTTTTTTATACAAAGAGGTTACAATTATTGTTAGCCAACAGGTAATTGCTGTCACATTTGAAAAAATTTATTTTGGATTTTATGTCCAATTAATGATACATCTTTAACTACTCAATTTCACATCTAACAGTTAATAATGATTGTGACATTGTTTTATAAAAAAATAAGTGAACTTATTGTATAAATTTCCATGTGATTTTTCATAATGTGGATGTTGTTAAAAGTATGTACTAAAACCTTTGAGTGATAACGGGCATGATCTATACGCACACAAACAAAATTAGAGCAGGAAGAGAAGTTTCATTTCAAAAAACACTTTGACAGCTACTCTCTTTCTTTCTCTCTCTACAGTTTTATCTACCTATAATTTTCTCACTGCTCGGTCGCCTCCCTTTCTCTCTCTTCCTCACACCTCTATAATTTTCTCTCTCTAACTAAAACCTACATCTTACGTTACAACTCTGCCTCTATTTCTCACCTCAACCCAATATCTTTTTCTCAACCCCTCCTTCTGTCAACTAACATCTTACCCCTATTCCTAATCCTAATAGAAATAGGTAGACTCTCATCATTATCCTAATAAAATAGATATACTTTTAGGTAGACCCAGTGGCAATGGACTCGGACCCGACCGGGACCCAAGTGGTAGATCCGATCTGGGACCCGACCCCTTGCCACCCCTACCATGGACTCTCCCTACTCCTAATAGAAGTAGGTAGTCCCTCATGTTTACCCCAATTCTAAACCTAGTATTACTATATTTAGATGGACCGTCATCCATATCTCTTATCCTAATATAACTCATAATAATAAGATTCCAATTACATAACCTAATTTCAATCCAAATCTTTATCCTATATTAATTATTCATCTAACAGGACTCCAAATTGTAATGGGACTTAGCAATGCTATTTTCAGACACCCCCACTCCATTGCTAAGTCTGACATTCTTAGTGTTCTCTTCATGATCTTGTAACTCTTCTTGCTTTAATGTTTTGATGAAGACATTAGGTACTTGTTCTTTGCTTGAGTGTACACTAGATCAACTTTCTCGATCAACACTTACACCAGTAATTGAGATATTTGAAGCTATGCTAAATGTGTTATCATATCTGTCCCATAAGTTTGAGAAACCATGCCTTTTAACACTCAATTTCACTACTAAATTTATGTTTTATTTTGTAAATCCACTTACAACCGATTGTTGTCTTACCTTCTATAAGAAGGACCAAATCCCATGTTTGATTATTGAAAAGTGCACTGATCCCTTCTTCCATAGATTCTTGTCACTTTGCATTGCCTGCCGCTTCTTCAAATATTTTCGGTTCATCTTCATCTATGACGTGCATCAGATATGTATAGTGTATATTATACACATAATATTTGTCAAGCCTTTTAACTGGATGCTTGTGCCCTTCTAGATATCGCTCGACATGTTCTTGAGTGAGTAATTTCCTTCTCTTTTGAAGGTGTGAGCATAGGCGGCTTCAACAAGGACTTTGGATCTCCATTGGGTGTTGAAGATTCATCTCCAACTCATTATACAACTTGATGTCCATGTGCATGCTTATCGAACTTCACGTCTCCGCTTACATAAGTGCGACGGGCTACTGGATCTATACACTGATAGGCTTTTCATTATGATGAATATTCAAGGAAGATACACTTTATAGCTTTGTCATCAAGTATTTTGCGATCCTCATCACAGCTCTTCGTATAAGCTATATACCCGAAAACATGAAGATGTGTGATATCTGGTTTCTTCTTATAGAGTTGCTGATATGACACCTTCATTCCATCTCTAAGCGGTTTGGGGTTGATCAATTACACTGCAGTGTGTATTGCTGTAATATACTTTACGTCAATTTTTTTTTCTCATCATTACAGGCTTTTATGATATGGCGAGTCTTCCTTTAAAGTTTAAACGATGCTATCCTCTTTTTTTTCCCTAACACGTCCAATTGTATCAATTTCTCTCATGGTTACCCCACCTTATTTTCACACAGATGAGAGCAATGTTCAAGAAAACAATATTAGTTTCTAGATTAGATGGGCATAAATGGACATATGAGTAAATAAGTTGTTGAATCGTGGTTTATACAGGAAATCAGACTATTAAAAAAAAAAAAATTATATAAGTTGTTTCAACACTAGAAAACCCTCTAATTGATAATCTTGATTTTGAGAAAATATGGATGTGACCAAAAAGGGTGCAGTTTGTATAGAGCCTAGGCTTTAAACAATCAAATTAAAGCCTATCTTCAAATAGTGACGAGAAATGTGGTTTTAATATTGAAAATCATTGCAACAGCCTTGAAATATATTTCCATTATTATTTATAAAGTTTAAAGCTTAAAAAATAGTGTAGATCAATAGATCTATGAAAACTTGAAAGAGAATTGACGGTCCAAAAATGCATTACAAAATATACTGTTTTCAAAACTTGAAATGCAATTTTTTTTTATCATGTCCATGCATCTTGATGTCGAGATGATTAATTTGAGGATACTTGAGCATCAAAACAACCTCTTCTAGTGAATTTTTTGAGGTAGGCTCTAATTTGATTGTTTAGAGCCTCTGCTCTATATAAACTTTTCTTGACCAAAAAATATACATTCTCTAGATCCATCTATTTTTAAGACTTTAAGGTGTTTATAAATCTACTCGGTTTGTACCTTTTTTTAAAAAAAAAAAAAAATTCAATTAAAGAGGAGACAGATTTTCACGTTATCACAAAAGTTCCCAACACCAAAATTGCATGTTCAAATAAAATTTAGAGGTGCGTCTTACTTTCCTTCAGACGCCTTATATAAACCGCTCCATTGAATGTTAATACTTTTCTGAAGCCCATGCGATGCAAAGAGTAAATCATGATACGAAGAGAGGAAGAGATCGTTCCGTATCTTAAAGCAATTGTGACCGGCGTTCGCAAAATTAAACCAGAATGGTTAACCAGACATGGGGTCAAAAGCAGTTTAACCGGCCTAATTGGGATGTTCAAGAGAGTTGATTCAATCAATGTTATACTTTCACCGAAAGACATATACTTTGTTTTCCTCAGATCCAACTTGAATTGAAATATTTGTGCAATAATGTCCCATATGGATTTAGGTTTCTGAGATTCTGATAAAGGCATCACCCATACGTATAAAATTTATCAATCCAACGGCCAATAATTCCTGCAAATCTCTCAACTTCATCTTCTTGATAAGCAATACTGACTAGTGTTTTTTTCTCGAGTGGGAAGAAACTCTAGACTACTTCCAATCTAAAGAGAAACCTAGAGAAATTTACAAACTGCAAACAGAGGTTGCATTGATCAAGGAATAGATGATGCGGTTCGGCAAGTAGACGATTTTGTAGTTTAATTAGCAGGCTCTTTGTTTGAAAACACCCAGCCTGCTCGAGACTTGCGTGTCTCAAACCAAGCGACTAGAGCTCGGGACCATGGCAGGACCCAACCCGAGTTGTTATAAACACTAATAGAGAATGGTAGACTGACGTGATTCTTTAAAAATTTAACGACCTAAATATCTTGTGTGACAAACAATATAACACTGATAGAGAATGGTGGGTTCATAAATTTCTTATGGCTTTTCTGAATGGAGTCTCTGATTGGATTTAAAGAGAGAACTTTGGATGGATTTTTATATGCAGAAAATTTTATCTATAATAATTCATTCATAATTTATTTGAAAATATTGAATAAGAAAAATTAATTGAAAAAGAAGTTCTCTTCTTAATAAATAGCTTAACTTTATATAGACTAAAAAATATTATTTTTTTGAGAAAATATTTTGCATCTTTTCCCTTCTAAGATTTTAGTCACAATAATTGAAACACGCATTGCACAAGCCTCTTGCTAATATATATCAACATAAAGAAAGCCATCAACTGTACATAATACAACAGAATACTAACCAAACGGAGGTCAATCATGGGTGGACCAACATCCTGACCAAAGGGACTGTTTCTCTCTTACTAAAGAATGCAAAGAAAATCCTAAAAAGAACATGAAAAGATATAGCATAGATTATTCCAAGAGCTCCTAAAGAATACCAGTTCAATATTTCATGGTGAGGACAAAACCAACGAGTTGAGTTTGATGCAGGCCTGCCATCTCTCCTCTTCTGTACACGCTAAAGAGAGAATTTGGGTTTTAGGATGCCTGCTCAGCAGAAGCATGTTCTTTTCCTAAAGTTATTGAGTTATGAGAGCTGTTAGAGTTGTTGGGGTGGTGGGAATTGTTTTGCTGGTCTTCATATTTATTTTGCTGGTCTTCATCAGTCTTCGCATTGAGAAATCTGCCCCCACAACCCCTGGCCCTTCTCAAAGCATGCAAGTGTCGAGATTCGTGCAAATAGGGCTGCATGAAAAGATCAACATATTTACATTGTTAGAGTGACTTCATGGTCTCTGTGTGTACGTGTGTGGGTGGGTGGGGGGTTGGGAGTATGGGTGTGTGGGTGGGGGGGGGGGGGGGGGGGAAGGGTGAGTGAGAGAGTGTGTGAATGTGTGTGAGCGAGAGAAAGGGTGTGTGTGAGAGAGAGAGAGTGAGAGAGAGAGAGAAATAGAGAGAGTGAGGTGTATTAGTATCTTAGAAATTGGGATGACAATGGATCATGTTGCAGAGCATGACAGGAGTGGTACTAGTAACTCAGGAATAGGGGTTGCAACAAGCCGGGCTTGATGCAGATTGCACCCAGGCCACGCTCGGATAGGGCCAAAGGCCTAGCGCCCTGGACTAGCCCAGCCCAGCCTTGTGGACCACATCTACTGGCCCATGCCCAGCTTTCCCCGGGCTGCACAGCACATTGCCACCACTACTCAGGAATTTAAAGGATGTGAATGATCATGTAGTGTGTCTAAAACTATGTTCAATAAGTGAGCAGGCCATAATATAGTGAAAGCATGAGTCAAAATGGCATGATAGTGGCCTCCCTTTGGAAACTCAGTGGTGGTTACTTCAGTTCTCCGTGGTGGAACATTATTCAGCCACGCAAGTAAAATCAGAGAACAAGAATTACATCGCAGCATTGGAACAAGAAAATAAGAAATTTTGAGACCCTTCTTCCAGATCTTTCTTTACAGTTTTCATGAATACATGAGGACTATGTTTAACTAAAAATTAACAGATGTCGGGAGAATGCCTTCAACATGATTTGCTAAAGGCTAGTACTAAAGCTTCCGTGAAAGTTAGCTGGCACCATATAACCAGTACAGCTACATCTTCACTCTTTAGTTCACTCAAGATGACTAGTGGATAAAACAAATAAACGAAACATATACAGACATACAAACAAACATAGACACATGATAAAAGAACATAATTTTAGAAATAAAATAAAATTTGGGACGAAAGAATTGGGATGATCACCAGGAAAATTTCCATCAGTTGGTAATAGAGAATCAAGTTCATCAAAGCTAAATGGGCTACAACCTTAAGAATAAAGCCATTCTATGGAAGCCAAGCAACTGAGTTGAACAAATAATGCAACATAAACAAATGATTCTAGTGATGCTTTCTAACCTACAACAAGATGACAAAGAATGGCATCCCCTTCATTAATAATGATCACTTTGAGGAAAGAAGAATGGCAGCTCAGATATTTATCATGTTGGTGGGTGGTTCCTAAATGATAAGGGCACAGTTGAAAGTTTCGAACAGATTAGAGAACATCCGACCCTTAAAAACGATCTCCTTGCAACCAAATTCCTAGACTACTTTATTCTCCTTTTATTCAGCCTCTTCAAGGGCACTACAGTTCTGAGAACTTATAGAAGAATCGAAAATAGAATCCATCTATTATATTCCACTTGCCAATAGAATAAGAGATTGTCCCATTCAAGCTCATTAAATGGCCATAAAATAGAATTTAAAATTAAGAACTCAATATTAATCAGCATTTCCTAAGTTTTACGTAGTGAAGTTATTGCACTTAGATAGATAAATATTTTTGTGCAATGGGAAGCATGGTTACAATGTTTACATGGCTTTGCTTGTAATTTCACAATCTTGACATTCATTGTATCTTAATTTGTATCATGATTTAGAATGATGGCCATATGAATAAAATCCTTCTTCCATGTATCAACTTCTTGTTTCGAAAACTGTTCACCAGAGGCTGCACATAGGTTATAGAGACTGCTTAGCACTTCATATAAGTAAAACTTTGAGCATAAAAGTTTACTTCATAGTTTGATTCTTCGCCACAACCAACTACAATAAGAGCTCTAATAATTAACATCCACAGTGGACATATAAGGAAGGGAGTCTTCTAAAAGCAACTAAATTGTAAAGAAAAAACAAATCTTATATAGGTCTTGTAAAGTGAATTTAGAGGATAACTATTCAATTTTGATTTCGTAGAGGTAGCCTTCTAGAATAGTGAGATACATCTATCATGGTTTGACTTTTATCTCCGTCCATGATCTCAAATATAGTATATGTTTTACAATCTCTTTTTTTTTAGGCTCCCAGCGAGCTATATATAATAGTACGATTTATTAATTATACAGAGCTGGGTGGGCAAAGTGGAAATGTGCAACTAGAGTTTTATGTGATCACCACATACCAATGAAGCTGAAGAAGAAGTTCTATAAGACAACTGTGAAACCAGCTTTGTTTTATGGCATGGAATGTTAAACAGTCAGGAAACATACCCATATGACGAGTATAGCTAGGATGAGGATGTTAATATAGATTGGAGGCAAAACAAGAAAAGATAAAATTCGAAATGAATACATTCGTGGGAACTTAAGTGTGACTTCAATAAGCAACAAGAAGAGGGAAAGTAGACTTAGATGGGCAGGCCAGGCGTAGCATTAACCCAATATAGAACCACTTAGGAGGCGTGATTTGGTTCAAGTGGAAGGTTCTAAAAGAGAAAGGGAAAGGCTTCAAAAGGACATGAATGAAAGTAGTGAGAAAAGATATAGGGGCTTATGATCTGAAAGTATAACCCTTGATAGAGCAGAATGTTGTAACAAGATTCGTGTAGCCAACCCCAAATAGTTGAGATAAAACTCTGACGACGACGATGATGATAGTATATAATGCATATTCAAGATAGGCTGACCATGGACTGCAAAGCATTCTGATTAATTATAACCTATTTGTGTTTTCTAGATTTCATATGAATCAATTGATATCAGCAGTTATAATTATTGACTTTAGAACAATGGTCCTTCCTGGTATTTCTCATAAACTTAAACAGGTTATAAAGTATAAGCGTACAAATCTCAGAGTGCCCACTGTAACATCTTCACTATATCTGAAGTTTAAGACCATGTTAACCATATCCTTTTTCAAACTTTCAATGTGGCTATCCAAACCTCGGTAGAATTTGGAGCATTTTCTATTGACAAGTAACTATGTTAATTTTTAGGAGAGTAACATTGTCTTTTAAAAAACAGTTCCAAGTAATAGGAGCCAGAGAACTAGAAGCAATAAATAACGACATGTGAATCATTCATCAATTGCTCGCTGTGGAAGTTGACAAATTCTCCCGAAGGTAACGTCTTTTCTGAACACCCCTTCCCTAGCCCAAAAATCAAAGCCTCATTGGCAACCCCAAGAACATAATGAAAAGAGATAGCTAACTTTCACATTTGCACACATGTAGCAGGTTGATTCCTTTAGTAGATGTGAAAATATGACATAAATAATCAAGTCAAATCAACAAGATTCTTACTCACATCTTTGCTCAAAATATAACCTTCAGTGTCCCCGAAATTATGACCTAGACCATGAATGAAAGGAACTACTATCAAATTTAAAGTTTTGAGTTACCTTTTTAACAATTTGCCTCCTGGACCAGGCCTCATGATGTACTTAAAGACAATTATCCTCCAGTTATGTACCCTCAAAGAGATATGGCTTACAAATTTTAGACAGTTATTCAAATATTCCCATTTTGCAGGCAGTCGTTTTTTAACATTCCCATGCAACTTACAGTCATTTAATGGTTTCCATTGCACACTAACATCCTTACTAAAACAATATTCTGCTTCATTCCTCACCCTAAATCAGATTTCGTTGTTGAAGGTCAACTAATGCCCCTCCTTTCGACATGAAGGTTAATTAATGGCCCTCCATTCGACTAAAACCTGAGACACACTACCCATTACTGGCATCCTACCACCCCACACCCACAATAGGAGATCTCTAATTATACCTTCAATCAATACTGGATGGCAAAATTATGGTAATCGTGAATACTGCACTAAAAATCATATTGGACCAGCCTGTATGACCACTTTGGACCCAAACCTGGCGAACAATCAGTCCATTTGACCTTCAACCCAATATATCTTGAAAGCCGGTTCCAACAGGGCTAAAATGCCCAGATGAATCAACTGGTTGAACCGGTGACCTGGTTGGTTGAATTTGTGAACTGGCCGGCTCACATTCTTATTTTCTTTTATTTTTAAGTATATTTTCCCCTGCATTCCAACAGGTTGGGACAAGTGTTCAAACTACAATTAGGATGAAATGATCCTTATCAGGTTCTACCTCCAGCTCACTTTTCAAAACATTACTCTAGAACGTCACAAGCATGTGTTAAGTATATATGGGAGAGATCGCAGGGTTATGTATCTTTAGGGCACACGAACGCATCCCTCACCTTCAAAACCATGTAACTGATGTTGATTAAAACAACCACATCCTCAATTCCTATTGTATGTCATTATTGTGGTTTCTTTGTAGTTTATGTCTGAAGCTATCTAAGTTAAATTTCCTAGAAAAGTTATACATGCATCCCATAGATGATACTTTCCAAATAAGCAACATACAACAACCCTAACAAAGATATCCAACCCAGGAAAGACTAAAGGAACCAGCATCCAATTGTAACAGCCAGTTTCTTTTAATATGGGAGTGGAATGGAATAGCCAACAACCCTAACAAAGATATCCAACCTAGGACACACTAAAGGGACACACATTCAATTGCAACAGCCAATTTCTTAGAATATGGGAGTGGAAAGGACTAGCCATATAAAATAACCAAGTACTTGTAAGAGCTATATCTCTGATCAAACTCAAAAGCCAAAGCGTCCTAGAAAAGTTAATTTTGCATTGGATTATATAATTCATAAACAGATAAAAATTGATTTATTTAAAAGATTCACCAAAGGCAATCATACTTAGAGTCTGCTAAAAGACACAAGCCTATAAAAACCTTAGCTTCCACAACTTAAAAGGAAACACTAAAACCAAACCTTACGGGATTTGATCAATTTATTTTCAGATTCAGCTTTTGCACGAGACTGTCGACGCCGTAATATTCCGTGATATTGCTTTGCATTGACATATACAGGTTCTTCAACTGCATCAGTAGGCAAAGGAAGGCCAGCTTGATGAATCCCCATCATATGTGGATGCATCTAATACCAAAATACCAGAAGACATTAAATTCACTCTAGCACAAAACAACAGAAGCAAATAGTCATTACTATAAATATGCCTTAACATAATAAGATTGAATAAAATAGAATATTTTGCGTATTTTAATTTGCACAAAAACGAAAATTTACCACAGCGTGTGCGCCATAGGCTGCAAGAAGACTTCCATAGTAGGGATCTGGATAGGGGTACGCTGGCTGAGCCTGCTAGATGTCACACATTTATAAATATCAGCGCATACAATATTGTTCTAGTTCTCCATGCTGAAATTATCACTTTGAAGTAATTTAGAGCCATTTAATGGGCTAAGCTTAGTATTAGTTCCAAAACACTAGCAATTCAAATATTTGACACGGACAAACTCCCAACTATTTTTTTGATAGTTATCGAATTCCCTATAATCCGAAAAGCAACTTCAAATACTATAACATTCTACCCAAGTGCCTATGGAAATGAATCCAAAGCTGAGTGTAAGATAAACCATCTATAGTTCACTGCCATCCCATTCCCAAACATACAACATATCTAATGTAAGTAGAAGTGAATACTAAACTATAAGTCTTGCAACATATAAGACTTTCTTGGTTTCAAAATTTTTAATCATAAAACAATTAGTAATTTATGAGAAAATAATTACTTGATCAAAAGGTTTAGTAAAAATAATAAATATATTCCCAAACATTCATAATTTTACACTCGAAAGTTAGAGGAAACGGAAACATCAGGACTCATTTGAGTGAGAAAATCATAAACAATAAATCGAATCCCTAAGGCAATCATAGAACGGAAGACATCAGAGAAGGCATGGAAATTTTCTTTATATCTGAAAGAAGAGATCTATAGTCTACAACTGACTAGAAATTGTATGTAGTTCAGTCATGGATTGAAAGCAGCTAAGTATTATTAGGAAACCACTAGCACATTCCATAGAGCCAGAGGAATACTAAATATGGACAGCAGTATTTAATAAACAGAAGTAAACATTTCCATGGATTTGTAACCAGGATGAGGATACAATTATATTTTTGCAAAATAGCAAATATACCACATTGTGTCCCACTTCAAGGTGAGAGCGAGGCATTAGATACTCGACAGAGGGGCTTGCCATGCTAGTTGATTGGAAAATTGCACCAGTTGAGTACTGATGTTGTAACTGTTGCTGATGTTGCTTCTGTTGTTCTTCTAATCCACCATTATCTGTGATTATGACAACTGGCAGTTATTGCAGAACTACTTGAGAGTATTACACAACTTCAAATCTGTGAGCTAAGGAACTGGAACCAATTCCCAATAAAATCATCAATGAACAAATGGTAAGCATACACTGGATCATGAAATAACATCAACACCACAATAAAATTGAGTACAAACTACTTGTTGATTGACCCAAAAAGGTTCAGGTTTCTACTCTACTCTGATACATTTTCCATGAACTCCTATATTCAGAGAAGGGAGAAGCACAATGAAATACAGGATTCACACTGAGGCAGCACTGAGGCCCAGATAAAAAAAGTAGAATTCAAAGTTTTTGTCATTGCAAAAATTGGTTCGGTCACCCAATAGCTTTTCCTTGTTATATGGTACGCACAGCCCTACACTGCTTTGTATGAGCTCCAAGAAATCAGCGGGAATTAGATTCAAGCAAAACACATTTTCCTTTTTAATAGTAAATACATCATTAAGGCTAAAAAGTCTACAAAGTGCATTGGCAATAAGGTTAAAGTCTACATACATATCCATCTAGGAAAGTAAAGATGCACATCATCATCCTGATCATCCGAGCCTTATCCCAACTATCAGGGGTCGGCTACAAGAATCTTTTCTTTTCGTTCAGCTGGGTCTTACCTTAGTCATACCATTAGTCACCATATTTCTTTTCACTACTATTATCTATGTCCTTTTGGGTCTTCTCCTTGCCCTTTTAAAGCCTTCCACTTGAACCAAATCGCCACTCCTAACCGTGCTACTCTAGGTCAACAATGCACATAGTCAAACCATGTATGTTTACTTTCCCTCACCTTATCGCCACCCCTAAGTTCCCTTAGATGTATTCATTATGAGTTCTGTCCTTTCTTATCTTACCACTCATCCATCTTAACATCCCGATCTCAGCTATATTCATTCTATGGATATGATGCTTCTTGGCCGCCCAACATTCCGTTCCATAAGGTATAGCTGGTCTTATAGTCGTCCACTAGAACTTCCCCTTTAGTTTCGTTGGCATTGTCTCGAGGCTCAAAATACCCATTGTTTAGAGTGCACACATAACCACATTCACATCGTCATCATCATTTGAGCTTTATACTAACTATTTGGGGTTAGCTGCACAAATCTTGTTCCGTCATTCCGCTCTATCAAGGGTCATACCCTCAGTTAGATCATAAGTCACCATATCTCTTCTCACTATTTCCATCCATGTCTTTTTAGGCCCTCCTCATGCCCTTTTGGTGCCTTCCACTTGAACTAAATTGTCCCTCCTAACTAGTGTTGTTCCAGGTCAACGCTACACATGGCAAGATCACTTAGGTCTACTTTCCCTCATCTTATCGCTTATTGAAGCCATCCCCTAAGTTCCTCCAAATGTACTCATTCAGAACTCTATCTTTGCTTGTCTTGCCACTCCTCCATCACAATATCTTGTTTCTTAACCGCCCAACATTTTATCCCATAAAGCATGGCTAGTCTTACAGTCGTCCTATAGAACTTCCACTTCAATTTCATTGGTATGTGATGATCAAATAAGACTTCTGAATGTACATCTCCACTTCGTCCACCTAACTCTAATTCTATGCATGACATCTTCTTTAATATCTCTATTCTCATGGATTATGAGCCCAAGATATAAAAGATAACCTCTTTTACGTACTTCTTGGCCATCAATCTTAACCATTTCCTCGTTTATACTCCTATTATATTAAACTTGAATTCCATTTATGCTATCTTAGTCTAGCTAATTTTAAAACTTTTTTATTCTAAAGCATCCCTCCAAAGTTATAATTGTGCATTGGTGTCATCTTTAGTTTGATCAAACAAAGCTATGTTATTCGCAGGCAACATACACCATGGTACTTCATTCAATAGATGCCTAGTTAACTCATCCATAACCAAAACAAAGAGCGTGAGCTTAATGTTGGCACTTGATGTAGGCCTATTGTCACTAAAAACTCACTTCTCTCCATCATTTGTCCTCACACTCGTTAGCACTCCCTTATATATATCTCTTACCATATCAACATATCCTCTAGAGGCTCTTTCTTTTCCAACACCCACCAAATTAACTTTCCAAGTTCCCTATCATATACTCTCTCTAAATCAATAAAGACCATGTGGAGGTCTTTAAGTGATACCCCATAATTACACCTGTAACTAGAAAACAAATTGATCATTTTATTGGCTTTCACATAGATGGAACAGATAACAAACTTGCCTAAACATGCAAACTCCTCTAGCGAAAAGCGAAAGCCCTGACTTGTGAAAAAACCCAGCCCAGAAGCCCATCCAAATGACATTCAAGAAGTCTCCCTCCAAAAAAAAAACAAAGCTAAATCTCTAAATGTCACAAAACTCACAACAAAAGACACCATGTAGAGACCCACTATAGAAGAAAGCACAAATGGGCAGCCCAAAATTCTATTAAACAAAGACAAAATTAAAATGTTATCCCCGATGCCCATTGTAGAAACTTGAGCAGCTAATGGTAGATAACCATTTGTGATTCTATGTTCACATGTATATATCAACATACGCACGAACGTGAAGCTACAAAGACTACATGCAAGCAAAATGGACTACATGCAAGCAAAATGGACACATGAGGCCCATAACTAACAAATGAGAGACTATCATTAAAACATAGGTGACAAAAAACATTTTCCATTTGATTTTTGGATGAGCGCTCCATGGTACATATCGCTAATCTATTCCCTCATCCTTCTTCCTTGCCATTTCAAGAGCATATTTACAGATTACTTGCATTATCTGAATGACGCTCATCTAACAAGATATCATACTATATCCAACGAGACTATTATCAATTTTACTGCTAAGAAACAGAGATACAGGATCAACAAGTTTCAGGTACATAAAATTGGGGATCACTTTGAAACCCCAAGGAAACTATATGAACACCTAAGTTTACTTGTCATCGGTCACCCAGCCGGATGAAACCCAACCTACCTCTTCAAAATTAGTAACCGACTGGGTGACCTGTAAAGTTTGGTGTTCTGTACTTCCCTTGGTTTTTAACAAGAGTCCCCCATAAAATATAATGTGCTGGTATTTTTGAAACCTGAACCCCAGTTCTAAAATAAGATAAAACAAATCTTCACCACATTAACAAAAATTTCTTTGTCACTGAGAAGTACGAAATCTGCAGACAAGTACCAGCGTGAGAAGATAGATCATGCATCGAAGATGTCATGATGATGACGCCTTTTTTTCACAGCCAGTACCAGAAACAGCAGAGCCCAGGAATTCACTGGGGGAAAAATCCGTGAGAAAGAGAACAGTTAATTAGCCTTTATTGAGCCCCTAATGCTGCCTTTGCTAAACAAGAGAAAGCACAAGAATAACTCTTCTGCAATCAGCCTCGTAGCCTGTAGGCCAAAAAGCTTCAGCCGCTTCCACTTCTGGGCATATAAGGTACAGTTCAAGTGGCCTGAAGAAGCATTCTATGTTCATAAGCTCAAAAATCAACAAAATATCATAAAAAGAGAAATGAATGCAGAGAAACAACTAACCAGACTGCCACATTAAGCAAAAGCCGCAAAAACGATACCATTCAAGCTTATTGTAAAAAGAAAACATGAAAAGAAACCCATATTGATAATTGAAGCTGTGAAGCATGCCAAGTTCAAATAGGAGTGATCTAGAGAGGAGAGAAGAAATCACAATTGAGTGACATGTTGATGAACTTCAAGTTTGAGATCATCATTCATAGCATTCAATTGCATATACTACAACATTGCGTTATTGGATGACAACAAACCCAATACAAAGCTCTTGCTCACTATTTGAAAACTATGAAACAGAATACAAGAATATAGACTTCTGGATCTGAGTAAATTTTGACCTATTAAACAAAACATGTTGTTACCAATCAAAACAAAATTACAAACATGAAGTTCAGCATTTGTCCAACGAATATCTAGCTTAAGAACTATATCAAATGCCCACTAAACAACACCCTGTCGAGGACATGAACGGTCCATGGGATGGCCCTCACGAGAATCAGTTGCTTACTGTTGTTTTCACACAATCCTCAATCCGGATTATCCAAGCTGCTTATTTTGTTTTTTTTTTTTTCTCACAAAAACAAATCAAATGACGGCCGTATTGATATGAACATAAGCTTTTTCCTTCCAATGCATAGGCTTCACTCCTAATGAATCCTCGCTCCTCAAAACTTGTATAAGCCAAATACAACTATAGAAATTTGCCATTCTAAGCATAGCCACTATGACAGAAATTAGATTGTATTTATTGAAGGAGAAAGTAATTAAGTTAGCATAAGGTTATGCTATCACCCCTAGGCATTTGACCACTACCTTTGATAAGGTCAACAACCAAGTTAGTCATGGTTTTCAATGCCATCTACCTAAGAGAAGTAAATGGGGAGGGGAGAATTTCCGAGCCTTGTCATATTCCCGCTTGAAGTGTACTACTCCCTAACGTACATCATGATGGAGGTGCTTTTTGTAATTTTAAGATGATTATGTAAGCGTTGTTTGGTTTTCTAAGTATTTAGTCGTATCAAATAGAAATATCAAGAGTTCATAGGTTTGTGAAATCCATGTCACATGAAATTGTGATTTGGGATATACAATAGAGAATTTTGAATAAAAATTTTGAAAGCAAGAGTTGAATCATCCATTGCAGCTGACACACTTGGCAAGGACAGCGCTGCATCAGGGAGAGACACTGGAACTTTTTTGGTAACTTTTTGACCAATGGTCCTATTATTTGACTTTTGGTGTATTCCTTTTTCTTTTATTTTATTTCACATGGTACGTCTCACCCCATTTTTTTAATGCACAGATATCTGATAAAGTACATCATTTTTGTAATGAATATAGTATCCAATGTGTGGGAAGCCATTCTTGAATCCATGTATATAACTTCTTGCATATATAAAAAGTTAACTTCATTTCAAAAAGAATGTGGTTAAATCATGCAATGTTGTGCAAGTCACTAGCATTAAACCCACAAATCACCAAAAGGTGAATCAAATAAATTAGGTAACATGAACTGATCTCATGTTTTTGGTAGTTTAAATGCCATATCTCTGTGCATGTACATTTCAAGAGAGAAAGAGAAGGGAGAGAGATAGATGAAGAGATGGATGGAGAGAGGAAGCATACATATAAAAAGAAGGTAGACACTATCATCATTAACATATCCACATTAATATGTTTAACAGTTTCAAAAAAAAAACAAACTAATGTATCCACATTAATTATTAACATATTCACATTGTTTTATACCGGTTATCCAAAAAATGAAGACTCAAAAGCAAATGGTGCTAAATATAATATCAAAAACAATCTTGACTAGATATATTTATAAAGCATTTCAAAAGATGATTCTTCAACATGTGGGTGTAATTAAAGACCAGCAACCATGAATAATTAATGAGGTCTACATGTATAAAGCGCAAGACTTATCTATAGGACCACAGCACTTATAGAAGAAAAACAGAGCAAGTGTAAGTGCATCAATAAATAGAGAGAGTTACCCAGCATATCAAACTTCAGGGTTTTTTTTTATTTTTTGAAAAAAAAAAGGGTCTTTTTTCAAGTACGAGAAACATAAACAAAATCATTGGCACAAGATCCAAAAAGGTAGGGCATCTCAGTTTATCTTTGAGAAAGTTTCAAATGCTGCACAAGACATTTATTTTCTTATCCTTCCCATCCCTTATCCAAAAGGTGATCGAGACAAGGAAGATTGGTTTTAAATGGCTTGGTTTAGGATAAAATTTAAAGGTTTCAACTTCAACCTCACACCCTCATGTAAATGGCGGTCGCAATTTTTTTTGTTATGAAAACATCTCGAGTTAGTATGATTACCTACAAAATTATTCGTTTAACTACTGATTCTACTGTTTAATTTTAGTTCCACCGCTCAGCTTAGTGCTTGGGTTCATGGACACAATATTATGGTATCAATTAACTTTACTAAAAAAAAAAGGATTATGGTATCCAAACATGTGACCGGCATAGTGGCGCAGGTACAAAGCATAAGAAGCAGTAGCATAAAATAAACACAAGGGAAATTTATCAAAATACCCATAAGCGATTAATTATTTAACATTCTACACATTTGCAAAATTTCCAATTGAAGACATGGATAAGGTGTTAAAATGCTCATCTCTCATGAGTAATTTGACAAATTTCCTTAGATATAATAACTAGAAACAGATATCAAAAGTATCAACATGTAATCATGTGCATAAGTGTGGTTCCTTTTTTATTTCATCTCATATTTTCTAGCATCATAGAAGTCATTCTCTACATTAGCAGTTCCTTGTTTCCTTGCTATTATTCTGTATTCAAATCTCAAAATCCACATAAACATGCAGATGGGTGTATCGCAGTATTGTCAAACGTGGACTGGGGTCCAAACTCGCAACTGCCCTGAGCCCAAGTCAGGTTTGACAGACTCGACCCGAGACTTGGCCGGTCTCCCATGGGTTTGGTTCTGGACTCCACAAGCTCCCGAGTCTGGGGGCTCGCAGATTTTTTGCAAATTCATATGTAACAAATAAATCCCAATTTGCTACCGGTTACTTTCAGCAACCCAGTCCTTTCAAACTGCATGAACACTTTCATAGTGGAATCCAAATCTACCGATAAATGAAATCCAAATCTACCAATTTCTTATCAATATCAAGAAAGCTGAAATGAGCAAACTAACATTTTGAGTTTCTGATACCAAAGAGCCAGGCTCGATAAGTCGCATCCAACATATCCATTGACTCCATACACTTAAAAAGCACAAGTGAGCAATCTATTACTTCATAGAACCAAATCGACGATTCATGCTAAATCAAAATAAAAAGTTTTACCATATATGGACAATCCAAGGCTTAATACCAAAGTACTCATCGTGCTGAATTCCTAACAAATTAAACTCAGAATTTCAACATAATTTTAAACCCAATGATCAATCTAATACCCAATATCAAGACAATCAAATTCCATAACTCCCAAGTCACAAACTCATTAATTTCCCACCAAAAGTATCTAAAAAAAAAATTGAATAAATAAAGCAGTGCAGAGAATATAAGATCATAAACCCTAGACTCTCATACAACCAAATGCTACACATGAATCGATATGTCAAGAACTAGGCTTTCAGACCAGAGAAAAGAAAATTATCACAAGAAAATACAGTAAACGTATGCTAACCACTAGTCTTACAGGAAGAAAAAACATACCAGAAAAAGCAAAATTAGGGCAAAACCTACCTTCGAAATGAAAAAATCACTGTAACAAGTGCAGAGAGAGACGAACTCAAAATAGATTTTACTAAAAAGAGAAAGAATCAGCATTTATTTCATAACAAAAATATTTCATACCTTTTTTAATTTGTTCTATCTTTTTTCTCCCAAAATAGGGGCCGCCTCGTAAGGGTTTGAATGGCATTTAACTGGAAGGCCTGGCTTCCAATCTTGTCCGTTGGTTTTGTCAGTGGAAGGAGAGCCGGCCGTGTTCAGAACGGGCAGGTAGAATAGCCTTGAGTTTGTGGGGGTGGGCCTCACCGAGGCGTGGGGCCCACAGGCACGAGTGGTTGAAGTTGAGCTGCGCCTCAATTTGTATTGCACCTCAAACTAGAGAGAGAGAAGAGAGAATATTCTGTTTTGTATGTGAAACGGAATACGTCAAGGGGTTGGACCAGCCTTGGACCTAACCTGGCCCTGGTCTTGTAGGTCAGCCCGGACCTACTCCAGGTTGGACCAATGCCGACTGGCCCCGACCCTCATTTGTTTGAGTGGGGCACTGCATAATAAACCTAGAGAAAATGAAAGAAAAATAAGAAAAAATATGGTTGGGCAAGCCTCGACAGTCCAGTAGTGGCCCTAGCCCGACTTCGCCCTTGGGCCATGGTGGCCACTGATGTGATCACTTTTGGTCGTAGGATGTTAATATGGGTGGTTGAAGGTGTGTGCCATTCATCATGCTCAACGACTAAAAGAAACATTTTTTTCAAAATTGTTGATACACTTCAAGTTGTCGGATATTAGACGAGTGATGGTAACCTTGGTGTACTATAGGTAAATGGTCTCATTGTATGAAACCCCACTTAAAATGCTTAACTTTTTTATAAAGGGTGCGGTTTCTATAGAGCCTAGGCACTAGACAATCAAATTTGAGCTTACCTTCAAATAGTACTGATAAATGTGGTTTCAATATTGGAAATCTTTGTGATAGCCTTCAAATATATTTTCATCTTTATTTATAAATTTTAAAGTTTAAAAAATAGTGTAGATCGACGGATATATGAAAACCTGAAAATCTTGAAAATTGATGGTCCAAAACTTCGTTACAAAATACACTACTTACAAAACTTGAATCTATTTATTTCTCATGGCCATGCATCTTAATGTCGAGATGATCAAATTAAGGATATTTGGTCATCAAAACAAACTCTTCTAGTGAAATTTTTGATGTAGACCCTCGGCTCTATATAAACTTTACCCTTTCATAAAATACCATAACGATTTTGAATGCATGCTCATGTACATGGCAGCACAATAGTGCACACAACAGTTTATGGCCAATGACTTAGATTAGAAGGAAATAGTAGTTGTAGTTGGGTTTTAACTTATACCAAAAAGTGCACACATTCGATATCTTAGGTCAATAATCTAGAAAAATGGTGAGATTGAGGAAGATGTCACGCTTCAAATTAGAGTTGAGTGAACAAATTAGAAATGTGCAATTGAAATTTTATGCGATCGTCGTACACCAATAAAGTTGAAGGGGAAATTCTATAAGACAACTATGAAACCAACTTTCCTTTTATAGGTGGAATGTTAGATGGTCAAAAAACTAACATACCCATAAGATGAGTGTAGTTGAGATGATGATATTGAAATAGATGAGTGGCAAGACAAAAAATGATAGAATTCGAAATGAATACATTTAGAAAAATTTAAGTGTGACTTTAATAGGCAATAAGATGAGATAAAGTAGACTTAGGTGAGCTAGCCATATGCAGCGGAGGTGCAAGTTGATTCAAGTGAAAAGCTTAAAAGGGTAAGGGATAATCCCAAAATGACATGGGTTAGAAGTAGTGAAAAAAGATATGGGGACTTATAGTCCCACTGAGGGTATGGCCCTCAATAGAATATAATGGCAGACCAAAATTCGTGTACTCGATCCCAAATAGTCGGAAAAATGCTCTAATGATAATGATGATATAAGCTTTAACTTCTTTATACATTGGATCAACCTGAACTTTGGAATATCCTTTACTATTTTTCAACCAACTGAAAAATTAGAGCATCTGCTATTCTCAATTAAATGGCAGCTAAAAGATATAAAAGATTATTTGAATAAAAATAAATTGATCAAAACATGCTTTAAAAGTTCGACCAAAAGCACTTCAACTTCTTGATAAAGGTGATAAAGGAGGTGATTTGTAAAATATCTCGAAAGAACAATTTCCGGATGAAACAAAATCTTTCCATTATATATAATTCTTTCAATTTATTTTTTTAAAAAAACTTATAAACATTGCTTTAGAACTCTATTGCTTTTTGTTTTTATATGTGTGGCACAGGGAATAACTTTCTTTGAGCACAAAGAAAATAATAATACTAGTTTATTTTGATTATTTAAATTAATTTTTTTGTAAAATTTATCAAAATAAATTATTTAATAATTTACCCCTTTATTCTTATTTAATTAGGATAATGTGAAAGAGTTCAAATTTTAAATAATGTATGCCTTATGAGTATATTTTGATAAATTTATTTTCTTTTTTTTTCTAATGTTAACTTAGGATCCGGTAAAAATATAACTCAATATGTCATGTTGTAGTACTCACCACTCTGACCCACCATGTTTTCATGTTTCTAGATCAATTGGCATCTCAAAATGCAGGTGCTACGGATCAAGGAAGAATTGAGGATCGATTTTTTTTTTAATTATTGTCGTGGAGGTGTAGATAGGCTCAATTTTGTAAAGGCTCATTCATGCTAGTATATATTTTGACAGAAATAACTAAAAGCATGTTAGCAACAAAAAAAACATAATCCACTCTCTCCATTTGACAACCCAAGCCTTCTCCCTCCTCTAATGAATAGAAAGCTTTTCAACTTTTTAACTCATAGCTTAAAAAAAGAATATTAAATGGGTATAATAAATTTAAGGATTTGAACCCTTTGACTTTTTTTTCGAGTCAATTATTTGACCGATGGAAAAGTACAAATAAAACTATTTAATTTTATTAAAAATTATAGTTATCATTTTAGTTGTTTATAAAGAGATCTTGTAGCTTTTGTACATCGAGGTCACAATTATTCTAACTCATTAGATGTTAAATTAGATAGCTTGGGTGAGTCACAAAGTCCAAAAACTCTTTTTTTTTTAGAATTTTGTATATATTTAGTGACACTATTGCCACCACCCATTTTAGATTTAAGGGATAAAAATAATTGTCATTCATGTACAACACATAAATGGTATCTTTTTAGACAATTCCTTAATTTAAGTATATTTTTAAAAATATCTGTAACATACTTATCACTTTAAAAACTAAAAATTAATATACCATAGGTAAATAGTCCTATGGCAAACAATTCCTTTAGCTTACTATCAAGCTTTAAAACGCAGCATAAGTCCACATGTGTTAATATAACCAAGCTCAAGAAAACATGAAAAATAAAATGTCACAAAGCTTAAGAAGCAAGGAAACTTCCTGAAGGAACATTGCACGTGCCATTAGTGTTAATGGGACAATAAAGACGCATCATCTTGTTAATGCACACGTGTTACATCCACACGAGGCTTCCGTTAAGTAATTGCATAGAGAGGCACAGGTGGCTTATGTGCTCGGTGCATCGATATAATTGGTGGAAGCTTAAGCGAGGGTGGTTAGCAGTGGGCTCAGCAAGGGTCACCATCTCAGCAATGGCCAGGTGGCCTTGCTTAGATTTGAAAAGCATGTGCCCTCAGATATACTGATATTTGATGTCACCCCTATATGAGGAAATTTTGTATTATATGATGTTGATATTGATATTAGCAAATTTTAGAAGTTAATTGGGATATCCATTGAAGTCCAATTAGATTACGACTCTTATTTATATCTTAATTCTAGGGGTAGCCATGGACCCGAACCCGGCCCCGGACCCGTCGAGTATACCTGAATAAGTCCAGGTATGGGTCCAACATTTAGACCCGGCGGGTCGGGTCCGAGTCTAAAATTTGGACCCAAACACTATTCGGGTCCTGGTCCAGTTGGACCCGACCCATACCCTTAAACTGTTGGAAGTAAAGTACTTCAAGCCCTATTCATTTAGGTGTATTAATGATCGTATACAATAAGAATAGGTAATACTCTTTAGCTATTAAACAATAAATAAGAAGGTTTCAAATCTAGTAGCAGGTTGTGACCTTGTTGCCAATAATTTGGGTATATGATGGTAAAGAAAGAGCAAAAAAAAAAATGTCATAGTGAGGGTGGCAATGGATCCGACTAGACCCGATGGGTATGGGTCCAACTTTTGGAGCCGATGGGTCGAGTCCGGGACCCAAATACATTTGGGTCTAGTTCCAAGTCTAGCTGGGCCCACCCCGTTGCCCCCTCCTTAATTTTGAGATATATATGACATTATGATATTTCTATATGGTATGAGATTCATAATATTATATAAGAATAAATAATTTGTGTGCCCTACTTAGGGGTCCATATAGAAATGATTTCCTCTAGAGAGCGAGGCAGGAGCCTTATGTGCATGAGATACAAGGCTTCCTTTTCGAGAGAAGTGAGCTTTCAATGGAAACAAACACAACAATGGTTTAGTTGTGGAACAAAGATAGGATATCAGCAGATCATATTGGTAAGAAGAGCAGGTCTACAGGATTGCTCGACTGGGTTTTCGAGTGTTATCAACCTACCTCCCAAAATCTGGGATATAACTCTCGTTTTATGTTCTTGTGGCGTGTGTTTTTCATGCTTTATGTCTAGTATTGTGGTATATATTCTCACATAATTTATTTCTAGCTGTTGAAGTAGACGATTTTAGTGGGATCCAACTTTTAACTTGCATGTTTTTTGAAAGATTATGTCCATACCCCTTTAATTACTAAATTCGCCTTTTTAATGTTATCGTAATCATTCATAATGTTATCGTAACTTGAGGATTTCAAGCCCCTAATTTTGATCACTGATGTCAATTGG